GTGGGACATGGGAAAGGAAAGGAGAGACGATCCTCAGCACAGTTCACAGCAATACAAAAAACTGAACACAAAAAGAAAATCCACTAAAATAAAGAGGCAAGGGATCAAAATCAAACAGGAAAAAAAGAACAAACTAGAGAAAACATTAAATTAAATACAACTAGGTAACGGAGCAGGATGGTGGGCGGGCTGTAAGGACCTCACAGGAGGAAGGTGGGCGGGCTGTGATGACATCACAGGCAAGTTGGTGGGCCGTCTGTGAGGACGTCACAGGAGGAGGGTGGGCGGGCTGTGAGGCCGTCACAGGAGGAGGGTGGGCGGTCTGTGAGGACGTCACAGGAGGAGGGTGGGCGGTCTGTGAGGATGTCACAGGAGGAGGGTGGGTGGGCTGTGAGGACGTCACAGGTAGCAGGTCGTTGCAGACAGCAGGGTGGGCACCATATATTTTTGGTCTCCAGGCAGCGCCCCCCAAGAGGGGTGGGGAGGGGGGTGAAAAAGTGCATTAGATGTTGAAACATTGCTGGTGCAATTTACTGCCATGGTCCCTTTCTGTGAGCTTACAGTATATGGCTGACCAGAAATGAATTTGCTCCCAGACGTTTCAACCTTCACATCCACTTCACTTGGACCAGGGCAAGGAGCAGGACAGCTATAACATTGCAGAAATATGCTGAACCCTGTCACTCTTCTGCCCGTTCGTTTTTAAGAGGAACCTCACTGTTGCGAAAAGTTTCCATCCAGTTTTACAAATCTGAGGCGTGATCTAACTGGTGTTGCATTTCACAACCCAGATAGCATGTTTTTCATGGGTGAAGACAATTGTCATGACATTCTAGGTAAAGTACAGGGCTCATAGAAAGTCTTGGGACACTTGCTTAGTTCTGTAATAATGTTGCAAATTCATTGGTTTCATAACAATGGTCCATTGACCAGCTATGCTTAATGTACCTTCACATATCTTCCACACAGACATTTGATGTCACACAGTCATGATATTTTTGACTGACTCATTTTGTTCTGTTCTTTCATTTTGCTCCCCCAGCATTTGATGTTTCATGTTATTGCAGAGGTGTTACTAATTAAAAAGCACCCAATGATGCTTGTCAATGACCTTTTTAATTTAGAACAGCTCTTTGAGAACTATAATTTGTGTTTCAATATATTAGTACTTGAAATTAATGTTTAAGTTTAAACTTCCATGTATTTTTTGCAAACAAATGAAATAATGAGTTTCGTTTTACAACCAATAAATTATATATGCATGAATATATGAATCATGATGAACAATTGTGTAGGAGTACGTGCAACATTTTAATTTTATTTTACTCAAAATTAATTATATTGGCCAATCAACAGTCAGGTCAGAAGTCCAGGGGGAATCAGCTGTTTTATGTGCATGACACATATTTTACTGACTTAGTATAATTGCATTCAATTATACTCAAGAAGGCTGATAACCATTCAATCAATATTGTTCTATATATTTGATGGAAAGCTATTGTGTACCAGATAACTGCTCTGGGTAGATGCTAGCTAGCTACTGTTAACCTCAATGTGTTTTGGAAGTACTTGGTTAGTTCTTCAAACCAGCAGACACCTGGTAACAGAGAGAGACTTGCACCAATTCCTCCAGCCAAACCACTGAAGAGTGGTTCCAGGCGATCACCCTTCTCTTTTTAAGTAGGGACAACAAGTCGCGTTTTCCATTCAGGTGGGTTGACGCCTGTCTCCCAAATGGAAGCAAAGATTGCCTGCAATGCCAGGAGGAGAGCCTTACCACCAGCCGGGAGAAGGTCACCCCGTCTCAGTGAGATTGGGTGGTTCACCACTAATTGGAAGATTAGAACTGTGGACCCAGAGATGTCCAATGTACAAGCCAGACAATCAACCTGATCTTGGAGTCTGGCCAGGACCAGCCTTATGCTCCTAGGCTGTGTTGCTCTACTGGACTTAAGCTGAATATTTAGAGGGATGGCAGGCAGCAGAACGTCCTGGACGTCCTGCTCCACTCGTTCCCTGATGGAGTAGGTGTTATTTTGCATTGTCTGCTGCAAGTTAAATCGTGAATTGTCACTGAGTCGATTTCCCCGCACCCCTATTTCATGCTACAGCAGGCTGCATTTCTTAAGGTTAAGGTAGAGTTCAGCCAGATGGATGTCAGCAAAGACTTCCTGTAAGTGGAGTATGGCTGCGTTTAAATCCACTGCATTCAGTGACAGATCATCAAGATACGCCACACAGCATGTCTGTGGAACATGGGCTGGAACACTCATCGTGAGGCACTGCAATTCCCAAATGGCATCGCCCAAAACGATCAAAGGCCATCTTGACTTTGGGTGCCAGCTCCACCTTCCAGTACCCACTACAGTGGTCAGGGGAACTAAACCAGATTGACCCTGCAATGTAATCATGGGTGTTATCAATACAGGGCACTGGACAGAGTCCTTACTCATATTGATTTTGTCAACATCAGCTTAAGCAATGTGGTGCCATGAGGTATGAGACTGCAGAATCACTAACACACTCTCCACTCTCTCTTTTTCTGCTTGGGGTACTGCAAGGAACTTTGGGGCAAATATTGGGGGTAGTTGTGCCAGGTAGGTTATATCAGATCCTTCTTCTATTGACCAGAGCATCTCTCCAGAGCTTCAATGATGGGCCTATAATGTTGTTGCTCTCCTGGAATGAGATCCAGGACATTTGTACTGGACTGCTTTCCAAGCTCATAACAGGCAGTGACACCTCAATCGATAGGTCCATGGTTTTGCACTCTGGCACACAGGGTCATCTTGCCCCATGGATATGTGAGGAGTGAGTTAAAGCAGTAGCTGACAGGTCCCTTGCCAGAAAACAGTAATTGCCACTGTCATTAGAGCTTCGTCTGGATGGGGGCATATATTCAATCGTAGCAAGTGGAAGGTTACTAAGGGACTGGCTGATATTCATAGTCCAGGGCATTAATTCATGCTGCAGACCAGGTGGTTTAGATGTCCTGCCTTTCCACTCCCCATCCTGCCCTCTTTTAACTGTCTACTTCTGCTTTTTTCTGTTCTGCTCACTGCAACTTACCCTGTTCCTTCTGCATTTCTGCAGTGGTCATGTTGTGCAGCCTCCTTCTAGGTACTACTTCAGATTCCTCCAGTTCAAAAACATGCAGTTAAGCTAACTGGTGTCTCTAAATTGCCTCTTCTTGTGTGTGTATGTGTGTGTGTCCAAGATAAGCAGTTGGAAGAGGTGGTGGTGGCATGAATATACTGGGGTGGGGTATGTACCCCTTTAAGTTCTAATGAATGCAAGAAACCTTGCTCTTTATCCCCAGTCCCCAAAACATACAGTACTCAGCACGTGTCCCCACAGTATCACATTCTATAAGCTCAATCCTGTCATTTCCCCTGTCGATTGTTTCAGTCCCTCCCAATTTCTTTGTTACGAAATCAATTAGCCCAAATTAAGTCTCCTTTCAGTTCCTCAAGTCTTACATCACATGGACCTTCAACTGAAGACGAACTTTCAAGTGGTGCCGAAATTCAGGAACTGATGCAATGTCATGGATGCTGTGAATAGAATAGTGATACTTTATTCACCTCCATGGCAAAGTTATCTTTTTGCCTATCCAATATTGCTGTCCACGAGACACACAGACACACGTACAGGTGAGACCGAGCTTGGTGGTCACAGTGTAGGGTGTCATAGGGTGTTATATAGTGCCTTTAATGACAGAATCAGCCAAAGGCGTTTTACATGGGTGTGTTGTAATACATTATAACATCATTAAGACAGAATAATATGAAAACAGGGAAAAGAAAAGACAAAGAAATGAAAGAAAGAAAGCTAGATTACAATGGAGGAGAGGAACCAAAAATTCCCAAATAGGGAGAAAAAAAATCTCTGGGGGTTCGAGGTCAACTGGCTGCCCAACCCCCCCGGGCGTGCTAATATTATAGAAAAAGAAATGAGTGAGTTTACTTGTTAAAAGCAAGTGCTACACTGTGGTCAAGAATTAGGGGTTAAGGGCCTTTCTCAAGGGGCCAATGGCGACATCAGCCGGCCAGCTCCGGGATTCAAACCGATGACCCGCTGAACCATGCACCGCCCAAAAGGAAACCTCCTTGAGCTCTGCTGCTCCTCAAGTGTTCACATCTCTACAGGCCAGCCATCAGCCATCAGCCTTCAGTCCGACCTCACAGGATCAGCAGCGGCAAACTCTCCAAAATTTCAGTGTCCTAGAGGGAAGATTGAGCCACTCCTTTCATTCCACTATGTCGCACCTGCTCCAGTCCAGGCCATGATAATGGGACTGAGGACAGTACAGAAACATTTCTCAATATATCTAAGGGAACGGTCACTGCATGTCAGTGGGTTATCTGGCTACTGCCACTATAAGTCAGAGAAGTCCAGTTAGCTATGAGCACTGCACTGTTCCAGGTGCAGTTGGACCAACCAGGGTTTTGTAGTCACTCTCAAGGTGACTAAAGCACATCCATGGTGTTGTTTTCCAAACCCAATGGATCTGTCCATTTTTTTGTTGACTACTGGAAGATGAACAAGGTCTCCAATTTTGATTGTTATCCTATATCCAGTAAGGATGACTTGCTGGATAATCTAGAGAAAGCTTTTTAATGAACCAAAGCCTTCTGGCAAATTGCCTTATCACCAGAATCTAGGGGAAATCACTGTCTCCACTGCCTTCAGTTTATGAGAATTTTAGACTCTTCATGGGACCCACCACTGACATGAGATTATTTAAGAAAGCATTTCTGGGGTTCACTACTCATTATTCTAAACTTTGTTGCCTGTCTGCCTGCTTATGGACCTCACCTGAAAGGTTCCTATCTGCATTGCTCCAGGTGACGTCCCGGACTATTAAAGCAGGGCTGTGACTGACCACCTACCGATGCCTCCTGACTGCTATCACCGGCTGATACTTTAAATAGGAGGGTGACAGCTGTCTACTCAGAGGAAGTGGGGGGGGGGGGGGGAGGAACAGCGGATGCCTTACATGAACAGGAAGATTATATCAGTCCCTTTTCTGTGTTGTGAAACCAGTTAATCTGAAAAGTTCTTTTCACAGCCCTGTATCATCTGTTTGCCGCCCTAAACGAAGTGAGTCTTACAATGAGGTAAATGCAAAAATGAAGGAAATTCTGTTATTAATATTACTAATATTATAGAGGAACACTTGTCATTCATTAACATTTTCAGCATGGTGATTGTGATGTCATATATGACTTCTAACACATTCAAAGTGCAGAGATCTTCTTCAATTGCCTCTGAATTATTAACATTTATAGGCTTTCTTTACTTCAGTTCCATTAAGGTTAATAACTTTTTATTTTAGTAGTTTTTGTCACTGTTTTTGTTAGACGTTACTCTTACTTACCGTACTCATTTGTCTTAAACCTGTATTAACATCTGCATTTCTAAGAGGTTAAAAATGTACCTACTCTTAAATATCTTAAATATTCTTAATTTACCATGAGGATGTTTTGCTGGTGTTTTTAAGAATGCTTAACAAATCTGTGTCACGGGTCGACACATACCTTTACTTTCTTGAAATTAAAAGTAATTTGAGAAAAGTATCTTTGTTAAGGTGATATTTCATTTTTTTGCTGTTTTCCATAGGTAAAGTATTTTAGCAAAATTGTATTTGGAACTTCCAGTTTGCTGTTGAACAGTAAGATTTTGACCAACATCCAGTTAGGGAACTGAGAGTATACTTGAGAGTACATACATACTGGAAAGTGAACAAACACTGATGCATTTATACAGACGTTGCATATCTATGTAAAAGACTGTTATAGAACTAGACAGATAGATCTATAAAAATAAATTTGTAAAAGGACAAGGAAATAAATGTTGAATAAGAAAGTGAAATAAATACAAATAAAATAAAAAATAAGGATAATAAATTTAAAATATAAGAATAAGTTAATTGATGCTTTCCTTTATTGCTTTTACTTTTACCATATTGGTTTTATTTGTCGTATTGCTTTCAATTTTACTGTATTGCTTTTAATCTTACCTTATTGCTTTTAATTTTTCCTGAAGGGAAAGCTGTCAATCAACTGGCTTTGGGCGGCCCCAAGCAATTAAATTGCATAAATTTTTAGAGGAGTTTGATTTTTCTTAGCCCCCTTATTTAAGTTATATATCTTGTTTATAAAACTTCACCTCTAAAGTTTTCATGATCCCCCTTGTTTCCCTTTTTTCCTGCTTTTGTTTCTTGTTCTCTATTATTTTTTTATTTATTATTATTTTTTTTAATATATATGTTTAGTTACAATTATTGTTGGTTTGATTGTTAAATACCAACTTCACCGTTGGAATGATGTATTTTCTTTAAATTAAGGTAAAAGAAAAAGGAGGTGTGACATAATGTGATGAAAGACACTGTTTCGCTTGTCTATTTGAGATTGTCATTGTCATTGTTCTAAATAAAGTTTATCGAAAAAAAAAAAAAAAAACTGGCTTTGGGCGGGCCTTCCTGTCCAGGCTGAGTAGTCAGTAGGAGGTATGCAAGTGACATCACAGCAGGCAGAATATACTCTGGTTACACCTACTCAGTGGCAAAAAAACTGCAGCAGCATTAGCATTCAGCTTGAATACTGTGAAAACACATGGAAAATAGGACAGAGCTGTTATGTGATTGATTGTACAGAATGATTTAACCAGAAATCAGAGCTATCTTTTTACAGACTGCTGAAAACTAAAGAAAAGAAGCAAATGGATCACTGCAATATGCAACAACAACATGAATCTAAGCTCCGAAAAGTGGATTTGTGGTTGTCATTTTATGTCAGTTATGTTGGATTATTTCTCTAAATACAAATGTTATTTAAACAAACAGATTCTGCTTCTGGCCGGTCAGCATATACACATACTGTAGATGGTGTCAAGCATCACAACTTCCCTTCAGCTGAGATGACATAGAAAGTCATGATTGGGGCTGACAGATTGATTTTCCTTGGCTGGTTGCTGCAAGGTGAGACACGGCCATCGAATGCCGGTAATCTTCAGTCTAAGAGGATTTATTTACGTTTTACATACTGTCCCAACTTTTTAGGAACTGACGTTGGGATTTTTTGATTTCCTCTATGTAAAAAGTTTAATGAATGCAGTGTAATGTCTTCTGTTTTAGAATTGTAAATATTACTGTACCTATACTCACATGTTTGTTATAGTGTAAATGTACAGCAGTGTTTCTTGGTATGATTACAGGGGCTCTGTGCAGTACCTGGTCAGCCCAGATGCCTCCGAACATACAAGCTCTGCATGGATCCTGTGTGCTGATTCCCTGCACATTCCAGATTCCATCTAAACAGGAAAACAATCTGAAAGCCCCAGTCGGAATGTGGTGGTCAAATAAAGGGGCCCCTAATGCGAAAATTGTGTTTTTTTCCAATAAAACACAGAATGACATTCAGGGAAATATAACTGGGAATTTATTTAAGAAGAACTGCACCACAGTCCTGAACAATATTCTGATGAAATGGACTGGTAACTTTTCCTTTAGGATTGAAGGCAACAATCCTCTTAAATATAATTTTAATGACAAGGTGAAAATTGATGTTAAAGGTACAGCCATCTTTATATTAGTGTTGACCAGTATTTTTCTAATATAGACTTCCTAAATTTTGATTCCATGTTCGTTGGATGTGTTTCAGTGAATATGAGTATTGGTGGATTTAAGCTGTGATAATAATATGATATGAATCATGTGACTCTTTGTCTCTGTGTCTTGCAGACTCCCCACCCAGCCCCCAGGTCACCATAAACAGGGACATCATGAAGGAGGGGGACTCTGTGACTCTGAGGGAGGGGGACTCTGTGACTCTGAGGGAGGGGGACTCTGTGACTCTGACCTGCTCGGCTCCAGCTCCCTGTCCATCACTCCCCCCGACTCTGTCATGGACCCCCAGGCTGAGTGACAGTGTCACTGTATTTCAGGAGAATGATGATCACACTAAAAATGGATCTTCTGTTATGACCTTTACTGCCTCACATCTCCTCCATAAGCAGGAAGTCAAATGTACAGCAGTTTACAGACTCCAAGCAGATAACAGTGAGAGGACATCCCTCACAAGTGTAACTCTAAAGGTTCTCTGTGAGTCCATTTTGATCTTTACGAGGTCTGGTAGCATAATTTCCCTGCAAATTTAATTCTGATGGATTTTACACCTGATATAAGTGGTATTTCCTGGTTTCTTTAACACAAATTATCCACAAAAAAACACTTTAGCTTTAATTGGGAAAGACAGGAGAATTTTTATGAAGTTCTGTGTGAGATTTGTTGTCATAATCTCTGAGTGAATTTAATTCTGATGCATATTATGTCTGATGTAAGTGATATTCCTTGGTTACTTTAACATTCCCACAGATTCTCCTAAAAACACTTTGGTGTTAATTGGAAAAGACGGGAGTCTAACCTGCAGAAGTGATGCCAACCCAGCAGTGAACAATTTCACCTGGTATAAAGTGAATGGGAGTGAAATTGAAGTTGTTTCATACACACAGAGCCTCACCTGTAATATCACTGAGGTCAGTGGACAGTATTACTGTCAGGCTCAGAATGAACACGGCCTGCAGAATTCAAGCACCGTGCAGCCTCACTGTGAATGTAAGTATCACAAAGTATCATCAAATTTCTTTATGAAATCTGGTATCATAATTTCCCTGTGAATTTAATTGTGATGGATTTTATGCCCGAAATAAGTGATATTCTCTGGTTTCTTTAACACAAATTCTCCTAAAAGCACTTTAGTTTTAATTGGGAAAGATAGGAGTCTAACTTGCAGCAGTGATGCCAGCTCAGTAGTGAATGTTTACATCTGGTATAAAGCGACTGGGAGTGAAATTACAGTTGTTTCCTGCACCCAAAACCTCACCTCTAATTTCATTGAGGTCACTGAGTATGGACAGTATTACTGGTGGCAGTCTCACCTAGACCTGGGGCTGGAGGCATGGTGATGACCCCTCCCAGGCTGGGCGATGGAAGTGTGGCGGTTCCGCCTCACACTGCTTTTCCAGATGTCACTACTTCCTCATGGGGTGAATTGGCCCTGCTTGTCCTGGGCTGCCTCTGCCACGCTTCCTGGGCCAGGTGCTAGAGAATCAGCAGTGACCAATAGTGGCTGGGCGCTGAAGGCGTGGCAGTGACCTCTTCTGGACCTGGCACTGGGGGTGCAGTGGTGACCTCACCTGAGCTTGACATTAGAGGCACAGAGTCAGGGAGGGTAGCAGCCATGGGAACTGCTAGCTTCCTCCGTTTCTTCCTCCTGCCACTGGTAATGGCAAAAGGGGCTGTGGTGAGTGGTGAGGAGCCAGCCGGTTGAGCTGAAGTGCGCAGTGGGGAACCAACTAACAGGTCCAA